TATCCTATAGGTTATATGCAATGCAGCGTACCTACAGCTATATATACCATCCTATAAAGTTATTATAGTTGTGGAGCGTTATCTCTACACACTAAGGGGTTAATTGGGCCGTTATAGTTAATTAGTATATCGGTTGAGGTAGTGAGACTCTTAATTATTAGATTCACATAGTGATTTAATGGATGTTGGTGATCTAGAGATGAGATGAATTGATTAATTGTTATCATATACGTGTGTTCTGCCAGCTTTTATTAGGTTCCTATCAACTATCCCTTGCTTTGGGGCTGGGTGTCCAGCAAGGGCGGATGGCCAGCTATCCCTACTACCTCCTGCCCGGAGTACTGTCCGTACCAAGGTAACTTCGTAGGCCCTTATCTAATAATAGTGAAATACTTAGTACACGCCCTTATATCTGACACATAGCTACTATAGAGAAGCTAATTACCTTCCTCCACGCTATATATGACAATCCAAATAGAACACTATCTACCTAGAGTAAGCTAGATAACCTTAAATAAGGAAAGCGCCCTTTCCTTAGCCACTTTACTAAATTTTAACGCCTTATAGTAGATACTAATTTAAATAAGGAAGTGTAGATTAATGCCTTATACCACTTACTATTTAATAACCTCTAACGCGTAATAGTAGGAGCCAAAATCCCATCTAATATTAATAAATACGCCAACCTAATCACCTAATATAATAACAACCTCTAATACCTGCCTACCCACCCAACCCACTAATTGAACTATACCTACAAGGTCACGACTCCAAGATAGTAGCTCAACCTAGACGTAATAGAGATTAATATATTATCGCACGCGACTCTATTAGAGTAGAAGAAGGATTAATACTAATAGAAAGGACTCTACTTTACATATAGCGCCCATGGACATATAGCTAGGGAGTGCCCTAAGAAGACACAGATATAGACTATAGATTAATGGGGCGATGCACCCCCTATCTCACAATGGGCCTTCCTGGAGTGCCATGGCGCTGTGGAGACTCACGACGTCTCTATCAAATGGGCCCCGAGGCACCTAGGCATTGAAGGAAATGTGGCAGCAGACAGATTAGCCAACCTAGAAGCTCAGCATCCATTACCCCCAACCAGACATGCCGCTGTGCCTACACTCTCAGGCGTCAAGACAAAAGCCCGCAAGACACTACGACACACAGCAGATCTGGTGCTCTGACAAGAAGCCTAAGCTCTCGAAGCTCACGACCCACCTCCAAAAGAGCCAAGGCCTGGTCCCGATCAAGAAAGGCGACTTCTTCCCTCTCTTCTGGAAGGCCTGGACGAGCTCCTTCGAAGAAGAGACGATCCTTAAGTCTTTTGAGACCACTGGTATATCACTATTCGACCCAGAGGTGATCCTCAGAAGATTCAAGAAAACCACCCAGGATGATAACCAAGGGTCACGAGAGAGCTCTAAGTCAGTAATTGGTGGAGATAACTGGCGTGAACTCGGTCGCCTTGTACGAGCTACAGAGAAACAGAGCAGGAAAGACGCACAGAAGCTTAGGCGCTCACTCCACCATATTTCAGCTAAAGTTCAGCTACTCCACCACGAGAATGCTGGATTAAGAGAAGCTCTCGCCATCAAAACGAAGCACAAGAAGAACGTCAAACCTCTTGATCTCCAACAGCGTCAAGAGTACCATGGTGGGGCGGTCTTCTGGTCATCAAGCAAGGTTAGGAAGGCTCGCGTACGTCAGTCGGTGAAGGAGCAAGAGGATTAGTTGGTTAATTGGTATTCATTTTACGTCTGGTTGATGGGGATTAAGTCTACCATCTCGCCTCCCGAAGGGCATATACGACGTGCTAAGCTATGGAATTACAGTGCTAACACACTACCTTAGAAAGTATTTCTTGCCTGCGCGGGTATTGCTACCATTTTAGAACTACAGCTCCCCTTCCAGTTGGGGAGACTGAGCAGTGCAGATGCATTAGGGTGGTTCCCTTGTGTGTGTTCAGAGGCGGTTGAGCGCCATAAGAGAGAGTAGGGAAAATAGGTAGGTGTAAAGAGCCGGTGCTCTGTCGAATCGGAGCCGTGGCTCTACGCGAGAAGAGCCTTTGTGTCTGAGGAGATAGGTGTAGTAGGAAGGCGGAGCCAGGCCTGTCCTTCTTCCTTATCCCCAGAGTTGTGTGTTGTAAGGCGTTGCTGGCAGCCTTCTTTACGTGTTGAGAGCCGGTGCTCTGTCAAATAGTGCCGTGGCTCTGCGCATGGAGAGCCTTTGTATTAAGGCCAGGCAGATGCCCATATCTTGCAAGAACAAGGAGTGGCAAGGCTGTCTCCTTGTCTTAGCAGTGGTTGTGGCCTTCGACCGAACGTGAAAATCTGAGTGGCGCACGGGCCATTTTGAAAAGATTTCAGCTCAGCGAAGAGCTGAAAGACAAAATAAGGCAGCGCGCCTGCCACAACGCCTGCAGTGGAGAGAGGACGTTGGGAAACGGATTCAAGAAGGCATTTGAGTCGTGTTTAAACGAAAAACCGATGGAAATCGACCTTTCGCTGAGCTGAAAAAGTTGATGTTCGGTGGGGCGCGATTAGGGGCAAGGCAGCAGGCTTCAGCGCGCTGTAGCCGCTGCAGGCTGGCTGGCCATAACTCACGAACATGTAAGAACGATACTAGAGATGTTGCTTAAACTATCATAGTAATTATATTCTGTTATCTCATTGTGTTGTTGAGATAGATCGCTGCAAAGGGGCAAAAGGATAGTAGGGTGGCGCGTTCGCTTGCCCGGCGCTCTCGCTTGCCAGGTACGTTATCACTGAGATGATTTTTCCATCTGCACAAGCACCAAATCGCGCAGCGCCTCCAAGGTCGTCGTCTTGTCCAATAACATCAGGAACGGCACATCGACGCTTAGACTCTGATAGAACCAAGTGCGGAACTCAGCCGCAATCATGCTATCCATACCATAGTTTGCAAACGGGCAGCGCACATCGACCGAGTCGTACTTGAGGAGAGTGAGGTTACCGAAGCGGCGGCGGATGAAGTTGAGCAGCGCGTCGGCTAGCGACTGCCCGGCTTCCAAGGCCTCGGTGATGGGTGCAGGGAGGTCGCCGGCGTGTGCCTGGCGTAGCACGTCGTCCTGGCCGTCGAGTGCGCTGGACAGTAGGCTTGCGCGTGGGTCATCCAGCGTTGGGTTTGTGCCTTCGAAGCCCTTTTTCCGAAGCTCTTTTAGGCCGATGGGCTCGAGGCCGGTGAGGATATGCCGCTCAGCGCCCTTGTCATGTGGGTGGTGGATACCATCCAACGTATTGTTGCTCAAAGCAATGTCGAGGATTTGCAACAGTTCGTCCTCGTCAATGGCCTGGATGCCTTTGCGGAGCAGCAAAGCCTCGATCTCTGGATTCTCGTGCAGGTATCCAGCCCCCGAGATCATACCCAGACCGACCGACATGGCAGGTAGGCCTTGAGCGCGCCGATAACGTGCAAACAGGTCTAGGAAGTAGTTGCCGGCGCAATAATTTGATTCGGTTGCCGTTCCTACGCTTCCCGAAACCGAAGATGTCAGGAGAAAGAAGTCGAGGTTCTTGTCACGCCCAGATGCGCGCAAGCAGCGGTGCAGATGCCATGTCCCCTGGACCTTGGGGTCGATTCCGGTGTGCCAGTATGCATTTGGCATGGAAGTGAAGAGGGCTTCATTTAATCCCATGGCCGCCTGCACCACGCCGCCAATATCCCCCATCGTCTCATTCACAAGGGCCGCTACGTCTTCTTCCTTGCAGACATCGCCCCTGATGACGACGCACTCTCCTCCGGCAACCTCGACATCTCGAACGAGCTTGCGCGCGGCGGGCTTGTCCAGACCGGATCGACCAAGAAAGGCAAACTTCCTGGCTCCGCGTTGCAACATCCACCGTGTCAGCGTGCGACCCAGCCCACCCAAGCATCCCACCATGATATAGCTCTTATTGCTATCAAACTGCGTCTCGTGCTTCAATCGTTGTACAGGAAGCTTGGACTGGGGATTTTGCATATTGATAGCCACCTTGCCCATGCGCGTGCGCGATGAGAAGAAGCGGAAGGCCTGTGTTGCATCCTCGATGTCGAATACCTTGAGCGTATTGAATTCAGCCATCTTACCACTGCGATAGAACTCCATGGTACGTCGAAGTAACTCGGTCCAAGCGGAACTCAGGGCCTCACTGTCGGAATTGTACAGATGTGCCAGGTCGAAGGCAGTGAAGGTTGTATTCTTCAGGAACTGGTCCATTTCAAGGCGACCGGCTGTGGCGAGATCCAGCTTGCCGATCTCGACGAAGCGACCGCCCACAGCCGTGCATCGCCATGCCGCATGAAGCTGGTCTCCCGTGAGCGAGTTGAGAACGACGTCCACGCCGCGGTTGTTTGTTGCGCTGAGGACGCCTTCGAGGAATGAAGTACCGCGGGAACTGAAGATGTTAGACGGCTTGATGCCGAAGGTTTGCACTAGGTAATCTTCCTTTTCCTTGGTCGATACCGTCGTGAATACCTCGGCTCCAGCTTGTTGTGCAACCTGGATAGCTGCCATGCCAACGCCACCGGCACCGCAATGGATGAGGACAGTCTCTCCTCTCTGCAGGCGGGCACGATATTCGAGTGCGTAAATGGCCGTCGAATAGACGACAGGCAGTGTTGCGCATACATCCAAGTCATCTGTCTCTTCCAGCTTATGGCAAGCCCAGTGCGGAACGGATTGGTACGTCTGGAAGTGCGAGGGCGCCATTACTACCACACGGTCTCCATGTGCGAATCCAGTCACTTCGGCACCGACATCAACGACAATGCCGGTGTATTCATTGGAAGATGTGGCATTGGGCACTTCAACCTTGCCACCGAAAAGGTAAAAGTCCTTTGCATTCAGTCCCGCAGACGTAACCTGGAGTAGCACATGGCTGGGTGATAGCGACCGGCTGTCTTCCTGTTGTTTGTAGTACAACGTATCAAACTGACCCACATTCTTGATGTCCAAACGCACATTGCCTGCATTCTTCAGAGCCATTTGCGTAGTGTGGAGGCCCTGTTTGGACCGAAACTCGGCATTGAGTCCCTCGTCCGGGGCGAAGCGGCTAACGTGGATGACGTTGCGGCGCTGAGCGAACTCAAAATCAGGGGAGCGGCTTGCTTGATTCAAAAGAGACAGGAGGCGCTGGGCGGTGACGTCGACGTCAGACTCGCAGGTGTCGAGATCGTAGGTGTAAATTTTCAAAGACGGTTGCTCGAGAACGAGAGCCCGTGCCAGGCCAGAAACAAGCGCCATGTCAGGCAGCCCACCCTCGGTGATGTTGCCTTTGGTGACCCATACAATCGAGTGCGCATTATCCGTCATAAGCTTGACTCGGCCCATGTCTTCGTCCGTTATGGTGGAGAGCAAAGGCTTCCGAATCTCCGCGAGGTTGAAAACGATGTCTCCTGCAGATATGTCCTTTTGGCCGAGTTCGTACAGTAGCACGTGGTGCACCTGGGTGCTTCCGTTGCTCTTTAGTGTGGCTTCCAGGGCCGAGCCCAACTTGGATTGTTCTTCTCGGTCTACAATCAAAATCCTATGGTTGTGTGGCGCAAAGGTGTTTGACTGAGCGACTGGCTTTCTAGCGACGACAACTGATGACGCCCCTTCATGAATGTGGTATGCAATCGAGGGTAGACTGCTGGAGGTGAAGGCTTCGGAGGTCGAACCGGGACATAGCGCGAGAACAGTTCCATCCTCTGTGAGCAAATCCCGAATCTTGTCCATATAATGTGCTAACCAAGGCCCTGCAACGGGTATCAAGATGACCTGATACTCCTGACCCTCCAAAGCTCCCGGCTCTGAGCGTTCGCCTATCTCCAAATCGACGAGGTTTCCACGGAGACTGCCATCATCGCTGAACGAGGCCGTCGTATAGCTTGAAAAACGCTTGAACTCACTCTTGGATGCGAGGAGGTCGAGCACGGCCAGACTGATATCATGAATATCATTGCCTAGCTCCAGGATGCGCACTCTCGGGTTTTTGTGGACGGCTAGATCAAGCATGGCACCGAGACGTATGATGCTATCGTCTTCCAGCGGTGAATCTGCTTCTGCAACGAAGTTATCCATGTGGACCTGCGCGTCCTGTACGTTCATCAAGCCAAGCCCATACAGGTCTGGTTTCCAGAGAACTCGTAGCATAGGATGGCGCTCTCCAGCCGTATTCTCTTGTGCACCGGTTGCATAAGGGCTAAGGCGCACTTCGTTTAATTGAACCGCTATGCCACCAGCCGGGTTCATAATCTCGCAGCCGATTTCAGCGGAGCCAAAACCAGTAACTCGGGCATGTGCGTTGATCTGGCATGGCCCGTCTGCGGTTGTGTTCAGCACGATGGATCCGAATCGAGTGGGAACTTTGGCATTTAGGTTTGCTGGAAGGCCCTTTGTCGTCGCCACAATGGCCGTTTGCAGCATCGCGTCGAGCGTTGTTGGGTGGACAGGATAGACGGCCAGCTCGTCGCCATAGGTCGTCCGCAGTTGCAATTTTGCACCGCTAGATGAAGCATCCTTCATGCTTGGCGTCAAAAACTCTGAAACAGGCTGGAAAGCCGGCCCATAGTTCAAACCACTTCTGAGAAAGCGGTCATACCAAGTGCGTTTTGCCGTTGGCTCAAGGCAAGCATTTGGAGCTTCGTACTTGGGCTCCATGAACGTGTCGCCCGTTGAAATACATATGCTACCCTTCGCATGCGCTATCGAAGTATCATTGTGGTAAGTGGAGATGCTGAAATCCCACCAGAGGGATGAGGTCGTCGCGTTTGTAATGGCTGATTTACGAAGCGAGGTGAACATCTCGGTTTTAGCCGCCGCATCTTCGGACAAAACAAGTGCCTTCAAAATATGGACATTGGAGAAGCAGAAAGACGGTTTCCCCGACAATGTTATATCGGCAGCCTGCATGACGGCTTCCATGGCGGTACAAAGATAGCCAGCGCCAGGAAAGACGATTGTGTCCTCCAGCTTATGATCCTTGAGCCAGGCAATGTCATCCACTCGCAAAAAGTTTCGAAATACAAGGTCGTCTCCGTTCCCACCGGGGATGAGCGAACCGAGTAACTCATGACGAGGATGCTTGCGCTGGCGATACTCGAGGCTGGCACGGCCTTCGTTCCAGAGAACTTCATCGTACCTGAACCGGTAGCGTGGAAGATCAGTAACAACGCTGAACGAAGACGCAACCGACTTTGTCAAGCCACGCAGTCCATTGACTAGCGTCCAGTCGATGGCGTAGCCAATGAGCCATAGATTTCCTGCCAGCCCTAGTGCGCTGGATAGAGCCTCTCCGTTACGTTTGACGGGTGCAAAATACCGGACCTGGTCTCCTGACACGGCCAAGTCGGCGAGCGTCTGCTTGACAGGAAGCTCAAGGGAGGAATGAGGACCCAGTTCGACAAATGTGTGGTGTGCGTGCGCGTGAAGGGCTTGAATGGCTTGCTTGAACCGTACTTGGCGGTCAAGGTTACTGCGCCAGTAGCGGCTATTGAAGCCCGACAATTTGTGCTCTGCCGTTACCGAAGATAGGACCATTACGTTCTGGGCCATCCTATAGGAAGGTACAAGGGTTGGTAGAACTCGGTCCAGGAGGCTTTCGTATTCTTCGCCCAGGGGCAGCATGTGGTGGGAATGGTATGCCTGTCCACCCGTCTTCAGTTTCCTGGCGAAGGTTCCATCCTTTTCCAGCGTAGTTAAGAGTTTGTCAATGGCCTCGCAATCGCCAGAGACGGTTACACCGTCAGGCGAGTTGACACAGGCAACTCGGACCTTCTCCTGGAGCCCGTTTTCTGTAATTTTATCGTTGACTGCTTCTTCGGAGAGCCCGACAGCCATCATCGCTCCTTCCTGAACGCTCTTGGAGACGCAAAAGCCGCGATAGTAAGCTATAACGATGGCTTCAGCTGCCGTAATGTGACCTGCTGCAAAGGCGGCGGCGATCTCGCCTGAGGAATGTCCGACTGCCGTATCTGGTACCACGTTCCACGATGCCAGTAGCTGCACCAGCGCTACTTGGATTGCGGTACAGCAAGGCTGGGACCGTTGGGGAGTGTGAATCAGATCCGGGTTCTCCGTGTCCAGAATGGCTTCACGTAGCGACCATGTCGGAACGTGCGGGATTGTTTTCAACGTCGAGTCCATTTCTGCTATGGCGTTACGGAAGGCTGGAATTTCGAATAGCTCTTTGCACATGCCCGGCCACTGTGATCCTTGCCCAGTGAAGACAAAAGCTAAGGGTGGGGGTACACTCTGCGATGGTGCCACCCCTGTCGTCAACATTTGTGAGGTGAATACGTCGTTGAGATTCATTGCCGTCTTTGCAACCAAGAAACCGCGCGTTCGGAAATTCGTGCGTCGAGACCCGAGCGTGTAAGCCAGGTCCAAAATGGTTGTGTCCCCAAATTCATGCCTAGCAAGATCGCTGGCACGCGCCTCAAGGGAGGCCATGGTCGCCGCAGAAAGCGGAAGAATGACAGATGACTGTGGCACGAACAGGCGTTCTGGAGAGGGACGAGGGAGATGAGTACCCTCCTCAAGAATGACATGCGCATTAGCACCGCCGTAGCCAAACGAGTTAATGCCTTAAGCGGTGTCAATATTCACGGCGGATCAGAGGTGCGATTCCAACATACCAATTCTTCGTATACATTCTTTATCGCCGGGCCACGAAATGAGCTCTGTGGGGATAGAGATGCTATCTTTGAAGGGCTCCAACTTGGGGTTCAGCTTCTTTAGGCCGTAGGTAGGGGGAATAAGGCGTTTCTCTAGAGCTAGAGTAGACTTGATGACACCTGCAATACCACTCGCAGCCTCTGAATGGCCAATGTTGGATTTTACTGAGCCAATGAAGAGGGGTCTATCCAATGGACGCTGAAAGACACGATTGAGCGCTTCTACCTCAATGGCATCTCCAACCTTGGTGCCGGTACCGTGGCATTCAACATATGTGATGTCATTTGGACTCAGCGAAGCCTTGTGCATGGCTTTTCGGATTACTGCTTCTTGGCCGTCGGCACTAGGAAGACTAATTCCCGCCGTCTTGCCGTTTCTGCAGTGGGTTACTGTTGGTTTGGGGCGCTTGATGAAGACACGAAAAGAACGTACGCGTTGATTGCAGATCCCTTGATCACACTCCGGATCGCATCTCCATCTCGGAGGGCATCGCTCAATCGCTTTACGTAAAGAGCACCAATTCCCTCCGCTCGGCCATAACCATCTGCAGAAGCATCGAAGGTGTGGCATTCTGACGTAGGGGATAGGACCCCAGCTTTCATGGTACCAATGTGCTGTTCGACAGACTGGATGAGGTTGGCGCCTGCGACAATGGCAGCATCGCACTCGTAATTCTCAAGTGCAACACATGCTACGTGTAGGCAATATAGCGATGACGAGCAGGCAGTATCTATGACAAGGCTTGGGCCCTTCAAGTTGAAGACGTGGCTGATGCGGTTCCCTAGAATGGAAGTGCCCATGCCCGTTGAATTATAACGAGTGAGGTAGTCGGCATCGCGGCTCTGCATTACCAGATAGTCAAAGGTGAAATTCCCGACGTAGCAACCTGTGTTGGAGCCCGAGGCGACATCAAGTGGTACGCCTGCGTTTTCAAGGCATTCAAAGACGACTTCGAGCAACTTCCGTTGCTGGGGATCCATATAGGTGGCTTCGAGGTTGTTGATGCCGAACATGCTGTTTTCGAACTGGCGTGTATCCTCGTTGAGGAAATAACCCCCCTTGGTCATCATGCTTCCAGGCCGATCGCTTCCATTTGGATGATAGAAGCCATCGACGTTGAAGCGCGACTTGGGAACCTCGCCTTTTCCAGATCTTCCATTGGCAAGGAGATCCCAAAAGTCCCGCGGTGACGACGAATCTCCTGGTAGTCGACACGCTGGCAATTTCATCTTCGTTAGCATACTTGTACCACATTGCCTTATCCACGAGGGACAGTGGGACTCACCAAGACCGCAAATGGCTAGGGGTTCTTTGGACCTGGAGACAGGTGAAGGCGGCATCGAAGCCGTCTGACTCCAGGAGCCCTCGCTGGGCTTTTCCGATATGATCATTGGAGCCATTTCTAGAATGTGAAAACCCCAGATGTTTGGAGTTGTTGTTGCCCGGGTGGCACGGGGTGTAGCGAGGTGAACTGAGTATCCTGAACTTTAAGAAATCTATCCTCGCAAGTCATGCCTTACAAACTGGATGTTTGAACATATGTATCAACGTTTAAGGCTAGTGCGGAAAAGGGTTATTTGATCGGCGCATGGGTTCCCGCACCTCTCTCGGCAACGGAAATCCCGAGTGAAACTTAACATCGGGCATCTCCTCCCATCACCGACTGGAGACCTCGCCATCTTCGGTATTCTGATCCCTTGCCAAGTTAGGGGGAGTACGCTCGGGAAGTGTGGTGCAGGAGAGATAACGTACATTTTTAATATATTGTTTAGGAGCACCATCCGGACTCGTCGTCGTGGGCCGGCTAGAGGAACGAGCTCTCTCAAACTCTGGCGTCAGGATATTCGTAGTCATGGAAGCACGCTCACCTTCTGTTTTGATTACGGGGTAAATATCATCGCAAGGTAGCGGAACAAGGTGCTAACGGAGCGTCATAGATGTGGCAAGGGCGGAATCGGCCATGCACTCGCGTTGGAATTCAAAGCGAAGGGGTACACTGTGATAACGACATTATTGCCCCATGAATCGAGCACACACCTGATCGAATGTGGTATTCTTACTTTCTCCGCGGACGTGACGAAAGACGAGGATATAGAGGGATTGTGTAAGGAGGTCACTAAGACTACCCAAGGTCAACTCGACGTACTTGTGAACAATGCAGGGATATGTGAGTGGCTTTGATCAATGGTATTCAGCGGCGCTAAAAACATCAGGCTACACGATGACGGCTATCGACACGGATGTACGCGAGGTGAAGAAGATGTTCGATGTGAACGTCTTCGGGCCCATGCGCATGGTGCACCATTTCCACCGGCTATTAGTGGCAGCGCGTGGGAAGATTGTCAACATCGGCAGTGTGGGCGGTATAGTACCGTATATGTACGGTGCTAGTTACAACGCGACCAAGGCGGCATTGCATCACTGGGGAAATACACTGCGCGTGGAAATGAAACCTCTGGGGTAAGGAATCATGTCGAGGTGACTGGAAGATACTTAATGCGTGGTCCAGGGTCAACGTTGTCAATATCATTTCCGGGGAGGTAAATACCAACATTTTGAAGCGCGACCAAGGAAGAACACTACCCGCCGGTTCGCTCTATCAACCACTCGAGGCAGAGTTTTCTCTTCATGTGGATAGGTCACCAAGTGAGTGAAATACCCGATGATGGCAGAGGTCGAAAGTGCAGTAAGCAAAGCGGCGGCTGATAAGCTCTGGCCATAGACACGACCAGCCCGAGTGAATATGCGGCTGCGGTAGTGCGGGAGATTGGGAAGCGCCAACCGAGGGCGTGGTTCTGGACAGGAGCGACAACGTCGTTTGTGCGATGGGGTGACATGTTCCTGCCGAGGACTTTTTGGGTACGTCAAACGTTCTGTATGGTGGGATATCAACATTTACCAAGTGAGATGCAGGATTGGCTGTTTACGCGTTGGTTTAACCTTGATAAGTTGCGAGGTCGGGGCTGAGAGTGCTCGGCGGCATATGATTCTTGTCCTTCCCACAGATGGTGAGCTAGCCCAGGAGATGACTAAGAGGGGCCTGTTCGAAGGATAGCCGTGGAGAGTGGGCGGAGGTGTTGGGGCCAAGGGCACGCAGGCATAGCAAATTATGCGCAGGTAGAGTTGTTAAGTGTGTAGGTTTGTTTCGGTGTACAAGATGGCGTCTTACTAGATAGTATCACAAGTGGCTGCCCCTTTGCACGTCAGAGCGGTCGTGAGTCGTTACAGTAGTTTCTGTACCTACGTATATTTGGGCGTACTATCAAACCGCTAGGCTTTAGATTTTAGAAAAACGTCACCAATTCTAGGTGCAGCAGAATAAGTGATGACAGCTGAAGTGAAATATCCTGCGTCGTTTCTCGACCGTGCCACCATACTGGAATAAACACTCGACCTTTCTAATAACTAATTACGGGAAGAGATTAGGCGGGCACAGAAATGGGCTGCCCAAATGCCATGTCTTCATGTGTGTGGCCCGTTCGTTCGAGGTATCCGACGGGCTTGTAGGCTTCACACATGCAAGATGTTGTTGTAACGGCGGGTAGTGTGGATTTGGTTGGGTTCCTACAGATCTGAGCCATACTCGTAACAAACATGTTCATTTCATGCCGTCTCCATGTGACGGGGTTCGATGCGCAGCCACATTTTCCGATGGACAAATAAACCCAAATTCTGCACTGTCCATTCACTCTTGTCGTCGGCCATAGACGGGCGGAATCGACGGAAGAAGTGTAGCAGCAGCTTGTATGTCTCCATCATGGCAATGTTCTTGCCTAGACAGATACGGGTCCCGTATCCCCAGGTCAGCATGTACCGCTCCATCACCTGGGCCTGGTCCTCGCCGTGGAGCCAACGTTCGGGCCGAAACTCTTCGGCATCGTCGCCAAACACGGTGGGGTCACGGTTCACGACGTATGGATTGGCGCCAACTTCGGTGCCTGGGGGTGCATACTGCCCATTTAACCAGAGGCCTTGGTCACCCACGAGGCGCGAGAGCAAGATGGACGCGGGCGGCTGGCATCGCAGCACCTCGCGGTAGCAGGCCACGAAGTAGGGCATCCGCTGGATGTCGTCAAAGGTGGCGACAGGCGATGAGAAGCAGCCCCGATGCTCAAAGTCTTGGATCTCAGCGAGCAGGCGAGCGTGCACGCCGGGGCGGGCCAGCACATGCTGAACGAAGCCGCAGATGAAGGCGGCGGTGGTGTCAGATGCCAGCACCATGAGCACGAACGAGTTGGGGCCCGTCTCCTCGAGCTCAATGGCGCTTCCGTCTTCTCGTTTGGCAGCGAGGATGTTGTTGACACCCGTGGCACCCGTGACACCCTGCTCCTTACTAAGCTTCTCCACCCTGGCACGACCGGCACGCTTTTCCTGCACGAGGGAATCGCGAAACTGTTGCCAAGTATGTAAGCCCGGCGCACATGCCAAATGGGTCAAAGCTTTCCCGGGGCCCCCCACCGGGCGTACACCGCGCATCGAGAACTAGACAGTGGGGGAATCGGGGATCAGGGCATCACGTACCGCCATGAGTCTCTCCGTCGCCTCCTTGTCTCCCAGTCTGGAAGGGAGTACGAGCTTCCTCAGAAAGGCACTCTTCAGCACAGGTGCGCAGAGCCACGGGAGCGCGTAGACGAGTGCGGCATAAGGGGCCATGGCGTGGAAGTTCTTGAGCAGACCGGCCACATCGCAGCCCTCGGCGACGAAGCCCAAGGCTTTCCCCAGTGTCAGGGTGCAGATGGTGTCGTAGGCAAACCACTGAGACCAGTTGGCGAAGTCGAGCCTGTCGCCTGTGTCTGCGAAGCGCCTGTCCAGCGCCGCCGTCCACTCGAGCACGCATCTGTCAATGTCGCTCTCCAGCTTGCGGACGTTGGTCTGGAAGAAGGTGCTCGCCACCCGCTTGCGTCTCGTGCTATGCTCCCGCCAGTCTCGCACCTCGAGCGGCGGTGCCAGGTCGCCCAGAATCGCCTGGGTGAAGATGTCCGTCTTCTCAGCCCGGCGATGGTAGATTTGTGGGAGGAGCCGGGCGTCGCTAACGGCTAGGAGGTTGGGCGCCACCCGCACAACGGGCCCGTAGCGTGCGTGAGCCGCCATGCCCAACCTGTGCTGTTGCTTGGTCCGTAGGATCCAAAGCTTAGAGAAGTCGGAGGCAACCGTCCACATCGGGCCCGAGAAGTGCCTCAGTGGGTGGAAGAAGATGTTGTACACGGCGCGCCCGAGGACGTAGCCTGCCAGTACGATAATGAAGGCACCCGCCGCCCCGAGCAGGATCCCCCCAGCCGTTGCACAACTCATCCAGTGCTTGTGCAGTCTACTAGGAAGAATGAGAGGAACAAGAAAAACAGGGATAATGTCGTAATGAGGAGCAAAGTGCAGAGAAAGGAGCTGTGCTTGCATCGTCCCCTAGCTAACTTATCATTGCCCACTGTCCCCTTCTTCACCACCCGCATGTCGGGGACAGAAGGCCGCAACAATTGCCTCTCGGCCATTGTATTTTCGTCGCCCCACCTGCCCTCCTGTCAAGCTTTCTACATACAGTAGGTACCCGACGGGAACAGGCATTGTTGCATTGCCGATATCCCACCCTGGATGCTTTAGGGGCGCCAGGGTCCAAATGTCTAGATCTTCCTTATCACTGCCGTTTTGAACCCGTCATGAGTACCCCCTCGGACGTCTAGTCTACACCTTATCTCCGTACTCGGCTAAGGTCATTCTTAGAAGTAGGTAGCATAAGCAGGAAAGATTTTAGGTGGAGAATTAAGTAAAATGCTAGCCTAGTGGATAACCGCTGACTGAATGTAGGCATAAACTAGGGTGCTATGCATAAATGGCTCAATTGTAATGAATAGTGAAGCGGGCGCATGCTTTTCATCCTATTAGACGTGAAGCCGCTTATGGTTAGGGGCAAAGTGCTCAGCGAGGTCTTGGGCGACTTGGCGGGGGAGTATGCTGGTCTGGGACAGGGGTGACGAATTGGAAAAAGGAGAATTTTGGTCATATAAGCCCACTATTATTAGTGGATGCCATAGGAAGCTCAATTTTGTCTATCCAGTGAGCCTACTCTTGACCGACTGGGCCCGTTGCTCCAACCACATGTGCATGCATTCACAGGCCATCAAGTGCGCCGGATTGCTTTTGCCCTGGTCTTGAACAAGCCGCAATTGCTTAATCCTATAGGGGACGCAAGAATTCGTTGCCTTCCTTACATAAGATATTTATCACTAAAGTGTGCCCCTGTTGGCAGATGCAATGCTAACAGGGATACAAATCGACGTGCCAACACTCTGCAGCTTGACAGGACCGGGAAAAGATGCGAATGCACTTTACCATGGCGTCGCGTCAATAGGACAGATTCAAGAATCCTTGATCAGTGAACAACTTGCTCTTGGATTATATACTACCCCCACCTCTCCCCGCAACAAAATCAAATAACAGTCACTGGTCCAGGTCTTGAAGAATCTCTGCGAGCCCTCTTATCCTACCTCCCAAGCACCTCCGCAAGGAAAAATGGCGGATAAAGCGGTCCGGCTATCAGACGGGAAAGCGGCCAAGCTACGCGCCTCCTGTGATGCGTGTAATGAGAGCAAAGTGCGCTGCAGTCAAACGAAGCCATCATGCACGCGGTGCCAGAAACAACGGATCATCTGCGTCTACGGCTTGTCCCGCCGCACTCATAAGTCCGCCCCTCGCGTGGGAGCTCGGCGCTCTTCACTCACAGTCGATGCATCCCTTTTACCAGAACATACGGCGATACCGACCGTGACGGAAGAACGCACTCAAATATCATCGCCGCGAGACAGTCTCATCTCCGTCTCGGCTTCGCCTCGCCAGGACACGGAAGGAACGGCAACCGCCTCAGGCGCCCAGGCACAATCTTGTCCGGACCAAAACGCAATGGACTTCCCCGACGACTTTACTTCACCTAATTTCAATCTCTCCAGCCTTATCTACCAACATGGTCACGATGGTTTAGAAAACTGTCTCCTGTCTCCTGATGCCTTCCTCGGCCAGCTCGACAACCCCCTGCCAGACGATCTGTTACACAATTCCGATTCTCCTGTCGAGCCCTTGGAGTTGACTTCTGAACACAACGGGTGCCATTGCGTCTCTCGCGCTACCACCGAGCTCATGTCCACGTTGGTACTATCCCATCGGAGTGGAAACGGGGCTGATGTCCAGCTCTCCGTCATCAAACGAGCCATTCAGACTTCCCGGGATTGCATATATTGCACCTGTGCCACTGGAGACCTAGCCCTTCTGACCAATCTTCTGCTCATAGCCCGTATTATACAAGGGTTCGAAATGACCGCAAGAGCACGTTCACCCTCAGGGCCCACGTCATCAGATAGCAGAATAAATTCGGTTGCGAGTGGGAGCCCAAAGTTAACCTGGGGAAAGCTCCCAATCGAAGAGCAGGAGGAATCTCAGATAAAGCAGTACCTGTTATTACTCAACTTCCAACAGTTGGAGCAACTGCTGAGGCCGTTGAGTGACTCGATCAAGCAATTGCGGCTTGTTCAAGACCAGGGCAAAAGCAATCCGGCGCACTTGATGGCCTGTGAATGCATGCACATGTGGTTGGAGCAACGGGCCCAGTCGGTCAAGAGTAGGCTCACTGGATAGACAATAAAATTGAGCTTCCTATGGCATCCACTAATAATAGTGGGCTTATATAACCAAAATTCTCCCTTTTCTAATTCGTTACCCCTATCCTAGACCAGCATACTCCCCCGCCAAGTCGCCCGCTATTTATCACAATTGCGCCATTTCTGCATGGCACCCTAGTTTACGCCTACTTTCAGTGAGCGCTTATCCACTAGGCTAGCATTTTACTTAATTGCCCACCTAAAATCTTTCCTTGCTTATGCCACCTACTTCTAAGAATGGTAGGAGAGCCTTACTACATTGATCTCTACTAGGTTAGAACTTACTTATGTCACCTAGGTACATGATCCTCTTCTCACCGCTATCAAGTGTGAGCTCAAAGGTGCCATTGACGATAATCCGATAGTTGAGGGACATGGCGCAGTGGAGTGGCGATTCAACTCCTAGTGCGAAGTCGATTAGACGCACCACACTACCATTAGGGACATGGATGCCAGGCTAATACACCACACATAGGTTATATTAGCGGCTGATCCACATATAGATATATGTGAATGTAATTAGAAATACGTACCTCATTATCCCTCGTATAAACTAAATCCTTATCGTTATTCATGTCGATGGGGTTGGCATTGGTGCTATAGATGATGTTGGCTACGGCATTACCATTTACCATCACACGGTGATGAGCACCATCGTCGTCCGCCAGAAAGGTGCCCTCGCCTTTGGAATTGTGCGATGTGATGAAACGACGAACGTGTCGTAGAAAGCACTTGCGGCTTGTTCAAGACTAGGGCAGAAGCAATCCGGCGCACTTAATGGCCTGTGAATATATACACATGTGGTTGGAGTAATAGGCCTAGTTAGTCAAGAGTAGGCTCACTAGATAGACAATAAAATTGAGCTTCCTATAGCATCCACTAATAATAGTGGGCTTATATAACCAAAATTCTCCCTTTTCTAATTCGTTACCCCTATCCTAGACCAGCATACTCCCCCGCCAAGTCGCCCAAGTCCTCACTAAGCACTTTGCCCCCAACTATAAGTGGCTTCACGTCTAATAGGATGAAAAGCATGCGCCCGCTTCGCTGTTCATCACAATTACGCCATTTATGCATAGCACCCCGGTTTACGCCTATGTTTAGTCAGCGCTTATCTACTAGGCCAGCATTTTACTTAATTCCCAAAAATCTTTCCTTGCTTATGCCACCTACTTCCAAGAATGGCAGGAGACCCTTGCTACATTAATCTCCACTAGGTCGGAACTTACTTATGTCACCTGGGTACATGATCCTCTTCTCACCGCTATCAAGTGTGAGCTTAAAGGTGCCTTCGATGACAACCCCATAGTCGAGGGACATGGCGCGGTGGAGTGGCGATTCAACTCCTGGTGCGAAGTCGATTAGACGCGCCACACTACCGTTAGGGACATGGATGCCAGGCTAATACACCACGCACAGGTTATGTTAGCGGCTGATCCACATATAGATATATGTGAATGTAATTAGAAATACGTACCTCGTTATCCCTCGCATAAACTAAATCCTTATCGTTATTCATGTCGATGGGGTTGGCATTGGTGCTATAGATGATGTTGGCTACGGCATTACCATTTACCATCACACGGTGATGAGCACCATCGTCGTCCGCCAGAAAGGTGCCCTCGCCTTTGGTATTGTGCGATGTGATGAAACGACGAGCGTGTCGCAGATCTTTGGCGGGAAACTGGGTGATGGGACCCTGTGGGTAGACAGGCCCAGGAGGTGCCATAATGGGGGAGAAAACAGCTGAAGTTTCACTGACTGACGTGGCAGGCAATGACCCGTTTGGAGGGGTTTGGACTTGAATCCTATTATTCATTACGCTGTTCCTTCCGCCTTTATGTCCAAGTCTAGCTGGGAATCTGGCGTCAAGGCTCGGGAATTTCGGGAATACGTCGACGACTGGCTCGGGATCAGCACGCCTCTCTATCATAACAATAATGATCCAACAGAATCAGCTCCAAAGACGGAAAGTCTTTCTGCATTGATATACGCTGCAACCATACGATTGAGGGTTCACGTTCAAGTCTGTGCCCGAGGCTATATGAGCTAACAGCTGCTTCTATACAGCAATAATCAACACTGAGGCGTCCTCAGAATATTTAGAACTTCAACGCGTTGGCCCAACCAAGTCTGATCCGAATGGTTACCGCGCATGTCCCGATTAGCCACCCATGCTAGCTAGCATTCCCATTGGATTCATTTCCTATACCCTCGTTATCTGGACAGAGCTGGAAGAGCTGCACAGCCTCTCGTCGGATGGGAAGATGGAGGCATCGGAGAACGATATTGAGAAGCGCTCCTTGGACGCTGTTATCGAAGGGAAGATTGAATAGCGAGGTTGTTCTACGGATCATCTGGCTGCGGAGTATCTGGCGGCTGAGTTATAGTATGAAGGCATAGATATCATTGTACTTGTCAAAAACCATTGGTGTCGGAGCGAAAAGGGTGTGGAGAGTGTTCGACATTAGTACGTAACTCAGCTTGAGCTAATAGAGGGCCTGAAGTTCATTAGAAGTCAATGCGTTGATATTACGACGATCCCTAAGGCTTTCATAGGCCTCTTTCCAATGGTCAAAGCCGTGGATGTGGGCTTGATGTATGTACTTAAGGTATAGCAGGTCTAGAAACACGCCACATCTATAGCGCAACTATATGAAGCCCACACACTTAGTGAGACGTAAAAACTATAAGACGCTACTTATCTTTATATCTAGATTTCCTTGAGCTCCCCTTAAGGTTACAAAGTTAAGTAATCTTAAGCCAGGATTATGGCCTATACTGGCGTAATGATTAAAGA